GAGTATATATATTATTAATCAATTTTTTTTTGTTTTTTTATAATGGGGACATTATTAGTCATTTTCGCTAAAAATAAAAGATCTTTAATGCTTCAAGATACAGAAAATTAATATTATTCCACGGTACGTATATCATTGACAAAAAAAATCGTGGACAAACTATATGTTATTATTGTAAAGCTTGCAAGTATTTGTGACAATAAAACCAAAACTTGTAGATATTTTATTGGGTTTTAAAAGGAAATAGAAGATAAATAAACCGGTCGAACCGGTTGGTAATATAGCAATAAGCGGTCTTTTTCATGAACCTTCAACATCAAGTTCGTAAATTTCCATGAACGTCTTTGAGCACCGAAGAAGAAAGTTACACATTTGGAAAGAAAAAAAACAAGCAAAACCTAAACCCCATATTTATTTGTCTTCTTTCTTAATCAGAGAATAAAAAAAAGCTAAAAAAAAAAAAGATAATTCTATTTCTTCATCGCATTAAAATTCTCGTAACCCTGAGACACAGAGAGAGTAAGAACCCAAAAATAAAAAATAAAACATTTTTGCTTCGTCGAATCTTCGTAAAATCAAGTTTTGGATTTTATTTTCAGCCGTCGCCGCCGTTTACGGCGGTGTTAAAGATGAAAAACCGTCGAAAACGCGGCGGTTTAAGCGGCGGCGACGTCGTTGTTTCGTGGAGAAGATTTTTCCGATTTGTTGCTTTGTTCGTCTTCTCTTTCGTTCTCTTCTCTGCTTTGTTCATCTTCTTAGGTAAATCAATCAAATTTAATTAATGACGACCTTTAAATTATAAATTAATCGTAAACTGATTATAATTTGATAAAAATTATTAGGAAAATTTCGACCGGTGGTTCGGTCATCGGTTAAGGCGGTTATCGGAGGCTCTGTACCGGCGGTTACGGTGGTCACGATCCATGAAGCGGTTAAGTTTCCTGACCAAACATTGATTTTACTAAAATACCCTCCGTACTCTCGTTTATTTACAAAAGAGGACCTCCTCTGCGTTTTCTCGGACGCAAAAAAATCGCTGTTTAAAGAGATTCCGTTCGCCGTGGAGATCGACGACTCCGATCGTCAGATCGTACGGTGCTCCGCCTTGCCACGTGGTAGCACCGTATCGCTCAATCACGACCTCGTTGTAGGACCCATGCACCGGTGGGATTGGCTAGTTTACGACGCCGTGATCGACTACGATAACTCCACGGTGGTTTTCGTCAAGGGATTAAATCTACGGCCAGGAAAAGTCGCTGACGTGTCAAGATATGAGTGCGTGTATGGTTGGGATTTAACGAAGCCTAAGCTTTTGTTTAGATCAGAAGTTATCTCTGCGGCCCAAGAGATCGTACGGTGCAAAACGCCGCTAACGGTATTGGACGGCCCANAATCGGCCCAATCTTTACCGTTAAAAGTGTCCGTGAGAATCAAAGGTGTTGAGAATGGGATGCTTCCTTCTGTGGCCCATCCGATTAATCAACCGGGTCGGGTCAAAGACTCGACGCGTAAACCGTTTGAAACGTGCGTTTGCACCATGACGCGAAATGCAGCAAACGTTTTGAGAGAATGGGTGATGTATCACGCTGGAATCGGTGTTCAACGGTGGTTTATATACGATAACAATAGCGACGACGATATGGTTTCCGAGATCAAACATCTAGAAAATAGCGGTTATAACGTTTCGAGACATTTTTGGCCGTGGATCAAAACTCAAGAAGCTGGATTCGCAAATTGCGCGATTCGAGCTAAAAAAGATTGCGAATGGGTTGCGTTTATCGACGTCGACGAGTTCTTCTACGTCCCGTCTGGTCAAACTTTAACCGATATAATTCGAAACCATACAACATCATCACGTGAAATCGGTGAAATTCGTACGCCGTGTCACAGTTTTGGACCGTCAGGACTTAGAGATCCACCTCGAGACGGTGTCACGGCGTCATACACGTGTCGTATGGCGTTACCGGAGAGACACAAGAGCATAATTAGACCGGAAACGCTAAACGCAAATCTGATAAATGTGGTGCACCATTTTGAGCTAAAAGACGGTTTTGCGTTTGCTGACGTGGATAAAAATACGATGGTAATTAACCATTATAAGTATCAAGTTTGGGATGTTTTCAAAGAGAAGTTTCAAAGAAGAGTATCGGCTTACGTGGCGGATTGGCAGAACGAAGAGAATGTCGGGTCGAAAGATCGGGCACCTGGATTAGGGACCCGACCCGTTGAACCATCTGATTGGGCCGAGAGGTTTTGCGAGGTGAGAGATATTGGGCTTAGAGATTGGGTTTTGGAGAATTATATGGACAGTAAAACGCAGCGTTTAGTGTGGGAGAGAGAAGGGAGGAGAGTGGAAGATGAAGTTATAGCTCAAATGGGTTCGTGGGGTTATAAAAGAGTTGGTCGGAAGAGGAAAAAGCAATTAAAAGCCAAATAGTTATACTTTTCGTTTGTGAAATTGTCCATGGTGAAAATAATGTAGATACGTCCGATTTGTAAATATTGTTTGCTTCCCCGCCAAAAAAGAAGAAGAAACAAATGTATACTCTCTTAGTGAATAAGTCAATATAAAAAAAAATGCTTCAATACAAATTTGTTTCGTAATTGTAGTGTTATTAAGAAGAAACTAAATGATGATTATAATTATCATTATCATAAGGGATCATTGTATCATTGTATGTTTACAGTCACCAATCATCAGTCCTATCACCATAATCATCAATTCGGCGTTTTGTTTCCCACATGGCTAAGCTCTATTGAAGGTTTTAATTGTTGGCTATATAGTATTTTACTAAATACTAACATTTTTTTTTTGGTCAAAACTAAATACTAACATTTGTTACGCATAATTTAGTGAGTTATTCAATAGCGTTTACTACTGTAAATCCGCAACGAACATGATTATCTTCAGATCCTTTAGCCAAATTACATCAATTCTATACTCACTTTTTAAAATGATATTTTTGTTTTCTCTTTTTCTATATCATTTTTTGAGATATGAGTAATATTATTCGCTAATTATATCTGCAGATTACGTTCGTGTATATAGAATTTTTTTTATAAAATATCAAAAAAATTCTTAACCATAAAAATGAATTGGCCCCACGTCTATTTTTAGAACACATTAAAGTTATTCAAATCCATTATTTATTTAATTAAATTACAAATAATAAATACTATAAGCTCTATACTATCCGTAAGAGGCAATAATTAAACAATAATTTACTTTATGGCATATATAAAAATTCACTAATTAATTGTGATAAACTAATTCTAATTCTGCAAAATATTTTCACTATGTCTTTTTGTTTCTTAATCCAAATTATTGACCAATTATAGGGGAACGTGAAGGACAGAATCAAATATACTTTTAAACAGCTGTCTTGATCAATGCATCAAAGCCGGCCAATTCAACAAAAAGAAATAGAAACAAATCTTTATTTTTAGACTCAAAAGATAAAAAAAATCTAAATATAAGATATTTCAATATTTCTTAATTCAATAGTTTTCTCTCTATATAAACAAATCTTGCAATCCATTTTACACAACAAACAAGACACAAATCTTTTTCACATTCATCAAAACCAAGAAGCCAAACACAATGATGATGAAGAAGATGTTTGTTCAGATCGCTGTGGTTTGTCTATTGGCGACGATCGCCGTCGTCTCCGGCCACGAAGGTCACCACCATGCTCCGGCTCCGGCACCAGGACCGGCAGCTAGCTCAGCCGTCGTTGCATCCACCAATATGTTCACCGGTTTGGCTTTTGTCGTTGTGGCTCTCGTCGCTGGCTTAAACCACTAAGCTTCGTTTTTTTTTTTTTTGTTTCAGTTTCAATGAATTGTTCTCTTGAGCATTAATATTTTCTTGTTATGAAAAAAGTTTTTAACTTTTGTTTAACTCTCTCTCTCTTTGTTTATTTGATTTCGTGAATAAAGTAAATTTATATTAATTGGACGTGTGTTTTTTTCTATAAAAATTTAGGGATCTCAAATCCGACTCCTAACAATATTTTAGAGAATTTCGTCCATTTTCATTCCTCTTTGAATATTTTCAAGAGATCATGTGTCGAATCGTCTCCAAATTTGTTGTACCTTTTGAGATCGTACATGGAACAAAATATGATTTTTTGAAGGGATGTTTTTAAGCGATCACATACACAAGACCGACTTTAATGTAAGAATTCCATCCATTTTTCGCCGCGGGACTATAATAAACATGATTTTGGCTATAAGAGAAGAAAAATAGAGCAAAATGAATAAGCAATCCCTGATTCTATATATGTTAAACCGTACACATAATTTGAGTAACTTATCTTAAACAAATTCATACATACTCCATCAGCAAAGGTGGAGATAATACTTGATCTAATTCAATGTCGTAAAACGATTGTTGAGAAGCGTACCCTTAGTGAGAAATCACTAACAAAATTATATCATAACATTATGATCATGCTGACGTTAAAGAAAATGAAAAAAAATTGTACTAACTGAACAAGAATCTTCAACTTTTATACTATTCAAATCGCAAATTTAACAAAACTTAAATCGAAAATACACTCTCTCTCTTTAGTTTCTTCTACAACAACATTACATTTCTATATGATCCACGACAAAAAGTGGTGTCATATGTAGTCTAACATTATAGTTAGTGATATCTTGAATCTCAACTTTTTGAATTCTTTGACTATTATTCTTGAGATCATGATAAATTAAATGTAACTCACGATGCTTATCATAATAAGTCAAGATAATCTCACCAGTATAAGCAGTGTCCATAATGCTTAAAGAATAAGCATAATCCATGGTGTTCCAATGATGAATGGATAAACATATCTTGGACCATTTGTGTTTCTTTGCATCTTCTAAAACCCACAATTCAAACTTATACCAACTAGTTTGATTGGTTATGGCTATTTTAGCCATGAAACGTACCAAATAAGGTTCAAGTAAATCCTTTGATATTGTAATGCAAAACTCAACTTTTCAGACTTCACCTCAAATCTCGCCAAGCTAAGACGATCCCGATCATTATTTCCCATGTAAGCAAGATAGCACAAGACTCCATCTATGCATAGACCTTTAGATATAGGACGATGAGGATTGCTAAAATCGATATTTTGCCATTTGGATGATGATCCTAATGTCAAAATTTTATCTCCGCTAGGCGGCTCTCGTGTTTCACTTCCATACATTTCCAGAACAATACACAATACTTAGTGACCATCTACTGGATCATATCCCAAAAATATTTTCACAAATAATTTTCTAGGTATCAGTCTCGGTAGAGTAATGGACTTACCAATACTAGGGTTAGTTATGAATTGGTCTTGTCCATATACCAAAAGCATGAAACCATGTGCATATTGGTGAGTGTCGAGGAGCTTCGGAACATGGAATGATGTATGTGATATGAGATCAGGAACGTCCTGCTTGATTACGGTAGAGGAGAAGAATAACCACTTTTGACTATTGGTTCCGTCATACTTTTGGCTATAAGCTAAGAGGAGACACGACGAGGAAGATCGAAGAGAAAACGATCTGATGAAATCACGACTACGGATAATTATTGCTTCCCATGATTTTGATAGGAGGAGAAGCTTAGCCACATATTTTGCGGGAAATCTCTTGAAGATCTCGACCAAGATCTCGACCACAAGATCTGTAGGTAATGAATCTAGAGATTGTGTATTCGTCATTTTGTGGTCAGTTCTTCCAATGGATAATCTTTAGAGGAAATTTGAAAAAATACTTTTTTGGCTTTTTAAATTTGAAAAATACCTTTTTACTTTTTTTTTTGAAAAATATACTT